TTTGTCAACCACGTGCGCGATCCTTGCCAGCAAGACTTGATCCTTTCTCAGAGGAAGACGCTACTGCTTGTTTCCGCCTTCAAAGAATTACCGCCTTCGCGAGATGGGAAGAAAGGAAAAGCGGAGAATGCCACAGAGGATTACCGCATTTGAGATGGACTTCGAGATGCGGACGACGCCACAGAGGATCAGACGCTATTGTAGCCGCCACAAGTTACCTCCTTCAGAGAATTACCGCCTTCGCGAGACGAGAAGAAAAGGAAAAGAGGAAGACGCCACAGAGGATCAGACACTCTGATACCATGAAAAAATAGTGGAAAAATATAAGAGAGCTTATTCTTATTTATGTAAAGAGGGGTATAAATACCCTTACAGGACTTACTGGTAAGAAAAACAATAAAAATAGAATACTGTAGACAAGGAAAGGAATAATAACAAATATAAGAGTGAGTTAATCTCTCTAATTAATGAAAAAAATAAATAGAAAAATAAATAGTCCTAAGATTCCTCATACAATTTATAACCCTCTAAACATAGAGGTATAACAAATATGGAATATAATCATCATTATTTACGAGATCTTTCAACAATTATGTTATTGATGGATGATTTGTTATCATAATAAAATCCTGTGGGCATTTCTTATATAAGTTATTCAAAGTTTTTTATTTTCATAGTTATGGGATGTAGCTTCTTATGATCTGCTCGACATTTCGCATGTAAAGTTATAAAAAACATAATATTTGGTTTTTTTTTTTGTTAAATATAACAGTGATCATATCATACCTATGTAGAGCTTATCTTACCCCTTTCAGCTTGTATCTTTATTCAACTTAGCTTTTGGGTTTATGGGAGCACCTATAGATTTCAATCTCTTTATGCTGAATCTTGTGATCAAAACATGAATGTACTTGGTTTGAGATATGAATTTTTTTCATCCTTATGTTTAACTTGTAATTCAAGGTAGTAGGCGAGTTTTTAGTATGAAAAGTAAATATACCTCCCTTTGATATAATATCAAATTTACTCAAACTCCATTTTTTAATATGTAACATTGACATCTAAGAACATGAAAGTGGGTTGCATTGGGCTTCATCTATCTCCGAATCTTATAATAGGGCGTATTTTTAATGATAGATGTAATGTTTAATCTATTGATCTCATAAAATCCTATATTTACCGCCTTATCCTAAAAATACTTAAAGTGAAATTCACTGAGCATAGTTCTAGTGATATTCAACAGTCTTCCATTCTTTGTTCTACTTAGAACTATTCTACTGTAGTATCTTGGGTGCAAGGAATTTGTCTAGTCCTGACTTCATTACAGAAAGGCTCAAATTTCTGATTTATCAACTCTCTTTCCTGATTAATCCTAATGGATACTATGTGTAAATTCTTTTCATACTCAGTCATCTATGCAAATTTGATCAGTTATGTTAGTGTCTCATGCTTAGTAGGCAATACTACCTAATTGAATCTATAGTAGTCTGAGGCAATTGGTATACAAGCATTATTTTTGGTGTCATAGAGAAAATGTGACACTAATGTGTTTGTAGTAGAAAAATAATTGAAACATGAAAATTTTTTGTACTAGAAAAATAGAAATAAAAGGAAGAGATGTTTAGGAAAAAAGTTTCTATAGTTCTGACATCATCACAATAATTAGAGAATAGTTGAGTGAATTTTATTAAAAGATTTGTGCGGTTTTTATACAATCATAGAAAAACTTCTAATAGAAAACATAAAAAATCAGGAATTGAAAAGAAATAACCACAAAATAATTACAGTGTATGTTTTCACATTTTCTTAAGTTGATTGGTGTGAGGCAAACTGCCCTTTAAAAATTTGAAAAACAGCCAATGAATTTGTACAAAATTAGGATTAGAAAACATACAAATTGCACAATTACATCTTAGGACTTGATGGCATTGTATAATTTAAGTGAAAGCCAATGAATTGTGGATACATATATGTGAAGCAACAAGAGTATGAAACAGTTACAATCAACATAACATGGGCATGACTATAAATTAGTTGAAATCATTTTAAGCTTATATCAATAATATTTTAATCACAACTTAATCTTCATAAGTTGTCCTCCATCCAACTCTTCTGTTCATTCATTAATAGCAAATGGTTGACAAAGAACAAAGTATCAAATCATGAATAGAGGTTACGGGGAAAAGGAAGTAAACGGAGAATAGCATGCCCATTAGCAATCATAATTAATTAAAACTCGAGCATAGTATTTACTAATCTTTGAATAAGATGTCACAGTTGCTCTATTACCTTTGATTATATTTATACGTTAGGAGTGTTTCTTTGATAATCATGCCCACAAGCTGGAGATTTAAACGATCATGCATGAAGAAATGAATGTTTAAATGGGTTGGAAAATGAAAAACTAAAAGATATATTGAGGATGACTGTAGTATAATGAAAGCATTATATACAAAATTGCATTTACCCCTTTATTTGTGGAAGTGAGAAAATAAAAAAGCATTTAATAAGCTTAACTTAATAGGAAAGAAGTCACTTTCCAATTCATTAACAACAAGATATAGTAGTGATTATCAATATTTAAAAGTCATTCTATAAGCTCTGCCTTTTTAACATACGCATATAGGCAAACCCAACTGCAATGGATGATAATGATTTTATACTTCTGAAAAATCTATCATTAAGCTTCAAATCAGTCAATATAGCAAATTCATCTGCGTGAGAGTTGAAGTTAGTAATGAAAATGCTCTCATTACGGCTATATTCCAACAATTGTGTTCTTAGTCTGTGAGTGGTTGAAATGAATCAATCAACCACATAATTTCTTAAAGAAATGGACTAAGAAACAAAGCAGTGTGTTCCATGTGCATTATGCGCTGTAACTCACACATAACACATAAATCACACTATTTTGTTTCATTTTTTCTTGTCATACAAATAATATAGGAGGTGCACTACGCTAGTGATAGTGTTATTTTATACTATTTGACATATATGAAAGGAAATAAGACAGCAAAGATGTTTTCTAATGGAACTTCTTTTTTTTTGTTCTTCACTTAAATATCAGCAATTAACTAGAAATAAAATTTTTATATAATCTTAGAACACAACTTAATTTTTACGAGACAATAAATAAATATTTGTTCAACAAATTTTTTCTTGATGCAAAGGCAACATTTACGATGTGGCTTGCCCGATCATTGTTAATAAGATTTTTTTGCTTGCACTGTATTCAATATGATTAAAAAGACCAAAGCTTTTACTTTGAAAGGTCTTCTATTTTCTCAGGGCCTTGAGCTAGACTAAGATAAGCCATGCCAAGTGATACTGAACTTGAGCCTTAAACATGTAAGAAATCATTTGTTTGTATTATCACATAAATACGAGTTGCTTTAATAATTTTTAGACTTTAATTATGATTATAAATTTTGTTACTTTTAAAATTATCTTATCGATAATTTCTGTGTTACATATTTATAAAACTCACACCAAGTACTACTTTTTATATCAATTCTAGCAAAATCTCAAAAGCGCTCAACAAAACTACAACCCATATTTTTCTATTCCTTGAATTTAAATTCTCAATAATTTGGTCATGGTACGCACAAATAATTGATTTTGCTAGTTCACTTCTATTGCCTAGGTGTTAGATATATAAATATGAAAGATTTGGTAGCGTATATAATTTTTCCTTTAATTTGATGAATGTTATATTTGCTTTGATTTAAATTTACTTAATTATACGATGATAAGATTAATTATTTTGAAATGATAAGCTCAAGTAATATAAAGATTACTTATGATTTTGGGTTGTTTTGTACGCAATTTTTTCCTTTATTTTGATAAGTGGTAGATTTACATTAATGCAATTTTACTTAATTATGAAAGAGTAAGTTTAAATACCTTTTCAAGATAACATTTGAAAAAATAAGCTTAATTATGATTATATGTTTTAATGATGATCAAAATTTTTAATGAATTTTAGATCTGCTTCAATGTAAATTTATTGAATTATCACTAGAGATAATTATAAGCTTGCCATCCACCCAGCTTATCCTCGTATTTGCTTAAGCCATTAATGGAGATAAGCCAGGCTTAAGATTATTTGGTTTAAGGGATATTAAAATGCGTTGTTTGGTAGGGTTTAGAAGTGTTGTTTTTGTTAAATCTACTAGTTTTTCCTCATCAGCATTATAAAGTAATAGAAGTTAAGGAATAAAGAACTAAATGATATGGCTTCACCATCAGAATTCTCTAGTAGAAAGCAGAACCTTTCTTCATAGCTTCTGAAGCAACAATAAACGTGTTTGAATAAAATTGGAAGAAACTAGAAAAGGCTCTGTGAAGGAGAGTTATTATCCATAGATTAAACCAAGCGATGGTAGAATTATCGTCATCTAAGGACTTGACATTGCCTTTGATGGAAGAACAACTGATCCTAAGTTATTCCAAATATTTATCTTCTTTTGCATTAAATATGGAAGAGTTTTTTCATATTAAAATGGGCCCAACTCACTTTCTTATTGAAGTAATTTCTGCAACTTGTTGCGCAGTAGTGCTTTTTCAAATCTATAAGGGTAGATTTCCTCAGCTCCCTAATATTTCATTCATATTATTTCTGCACTTAAATTGTTGATTTTTGTGTATGAAAATTTAAGAGACTTGCAGATATTTTTAGTACAAGGTTTGTACCTTAAATAAAGACGGGTGGTGCATGAAGATGAACACTGCCTTTACCAAGTGTCTGTTTTTATTATGTCCTGGAAATAGACTATTACTACGTGCTTTACATCATTAGTGCTATTTTTCATGTTTTTTTTTATATTTATTTTTATTTTTTTAAACTCTTGCGTCCATATATCCAAAGTGATAAATTGTGCAGATATTAATTCTAGAATGCTTTGAAACTTACTGCTACTTGTCTCAATAAATCTCAAAAAATTCATCTCAACTCATTACATTACATCTCAACTTTTATTTACTTCTTTTTTCCACAACAGGATGAGGTCATTCCACATCTAGAGCCTGGAATGGTGCCCTCCACAGTAGATCCCGATTCAGCAGGCTACATTGACAAAACAAACAGGTCCAAAAGGCCAGTTAAACTCAGCGCTTGGAAACTTGCCAAATTGGACTCAAATGAAGCAATGAAAGCAGCTGCTAAAGCCAGGGCTTCATCCTCCGTTCTAAGACCAATAGAAGGTCGTCAAATCCCAGAAACCGAGTCTAGCAGTAATGCTAGTGTCAGAAGCAGCATGAGCATCGATTATGGCACCAACAAAGAACCAAAAACTGATCCCAAACACTCACCTTTGAGCAACTCATACCCACAAAGCATTGCAAGCAAGGATGACTACGAAAATGGCACACAAACAGCTAGTAGTCTTAGTAGTCCTCTGCACATCCATGAACAACCTTATGCTTTGAATCCACTACCAATGCAGCCATCAAATCCTACAAGGCCAAGAGGGTCTCTCCAAAATACTCAACCATCCAATATCCCTAGTATGCAACCTAGCAATCCAATGTTTCAATCTGCCAATTCAATTGTCAGGGAAAGCAGGAGGAGTTCAGTTGTGTGGGATCAAGAAGCTGGAAGGTATGTGTCTGTTTTACCATCAACTAGGCCTGAAAACACTGAAGTTCCATTCAGGGGTAGAGTTCCTGCAACAAATACTTCAGCTGAAGTAGGAGGTTATGGAAGGAGGACCAATGTATCAAGCTCTTCTTCTTCGGTTGGTACCTCACAGCATCAGGAGAGGTTGACATATACAGAACAGTCAATATTTTTTGGCGGCCCTCTTCTTGCTAGCACAGGAAGAGATGGCCAAAGAATAGAGGACGGTTTACGGAGAGATTCTAATGTTCATGATGTTAGAGGCGATAGGGGGGATGTTGATCGATTTCCAGTTTTCACTCCTGGAGCTAATCAAAGGAATCCTTCTAATTTTAAGTGATTTATAGGACACCATTTCACCAGCTTTAGAGTATTTCAGGAGCTCTGCTTCTGATGTCATGATAGTTGAGCCACTATTATGTGGAAGCAGAGTGTTCTTAGGGTTCAGAATTCTTATTTCTGGCTGCAGTTCACTTAGGAAATCAAGAGAAATGTTTGAGCTGAAGAGCGGAACTTTTAGATTGAGGAATCAACTTTGTTTTAACCTAATTTTCTGAGAGAACTTCTGAGAGGTCAAAAGCTTTTCTTTTACTGATTTAAAACGAAGCCTTTCCCCTTCACGATTTTTACCTGAATCGAAATAACATGCAATGCTCAGTTTCTAGTGGAATCTGTTATCAATCAATTTTTTTTTTATATTTTAGATAAGTGGACCTTTTCATCTTCACTTTAAACTTGTTATGTTTGTCATTTTAATCAAGTCACCTTTATTATTATTATTATTTTATCATATGCTTGGATTGTAAAGAGTATTTGGTTATTCTACAACCGAAATGCGTGGGTGGACTGCCATGAAAACCGTTGGAATTTGGCGGGAAACAACCTCATGAAGCACACAGCAGTCTTTGGATCATCTAAACATATCTCAACCGTTTTATCTTTACTCCTATAACCATTTATCTCTAGAATCGTCTATTATATCTATAAATAGACTTCTACATTACTGTAGCATTTTAATTAATCACGGCGAGCCACTACAATGCTTTAGTATGTTCTCTGTTCCTCGTTTCTCTTTTTCTATGCTTCCATTTCTCTGTAATCAGCAGGTTTTGGCTAGAGTTGCCTTTCATGGTATTAGAGCATCTGCAATGTTGCATCAACCTCCTTGCTCATTTATACCAAGCAGTTTTCCGTTTTGTAATTCATATACCCTAGCAAAATGTCACCGGTTCTCCTTCCAAGTTATAGTAAGAATATATATAAGCTTTTAGAACTTATTGCATCTAATGATTGGGGGCATACCCATATCCTTCTTTACAAGGAATTCGTTGCTTTGCAGTATTTGTTGATGATTTTTTCCATTTTCCTTGGTTGTTCCCAATGTTTATAAAGAATGAAATCTGATCGCATTTTACTACATTCAAATGATGCGTTGAACTTCAATTTAATTCCTCTGTACAAACATTATGAGCAGATGGTGGTAATGATGATGCGGGATATCTCTTGCCTGGGATTACCTGCGACTGAAGAGGGAGCCGATTGCTCCATGTAATTTTGTGGTCGTGGGGCTTGTAGATCTAATGGGGTCATTCCTAGCTATCATCTAATTATATATTTGTTTTTTTTTTATGTTTTTGGGTTATTTTTTCATGTGTTTTCTCTTGGGACGGTTCTCATCTATTCTTCCCTTCGAGGATTGCATTCTAGTGTTGTAGGTGACGATTTGGTTGTATCTTGATTTCTAGGTGGTGATAATCTTTCTCATCCCTTTCTGCTTTCCTCTCTCTTCCCTACCACACCTTCCTCCTCAATGCAGTAACCCCGACGATAGCGATTTTATTTTTCTTTATGCAATTTCTCGTTGTTCAACCATCCTCATCATCGCAGCCCCAAGATAGTCATTTATGAGTTATCCTGTACTACCACACGTTCCCCCAGTTATCGTTTTTCCTGCTTGTTGTCGTCGTTTGGAAAAAGTTGTTCTTGGTTGCTTTCTGTTGTTCCAGTTGTTGGTCAATTGTTTCTCTCATTTTAGCCTATTGCCCTTACTGCAAGCCCGTAACTCCTCCTTGCTTCCAACATCCTTGTGCTTTACTGTCGCAACCTAAGACTATTTTTTCCAGCCTATTTGGTATTGTTTGACCCCTCTTTGTTATTGTCACCCTTACAACCCCTTCAACACAACCCATTTTAACCACCTACTTCAACTCCTCGATCACCTAGCTCACCTCCACCACCCATGAATCGAACCCTCATATGAGTGTGTTGTGTTTGTTGTAATCTTTCCTTTCAATTGTGCTTGATTGTAACCACCTATTTTCTTTTAGTAATAATATTTGCTTTTCCTTTCATGATTTTGGTCAACCCTGGTATCATTTGTATCGGGTCAGCCTAACCCTAGTCCTTCCCTAGGGTTTCTAGCATCCCCCATATCTCTACCCAAAAATTTCTTACCCTACAACACAATTATACACCTCCTTCCATCTATTCCCACCCAAATCATAATCATGCCATCGAGAAGCAAAGTGTCGGATGACGATTAGGAGTTTACTATGGAAGAGATGCAGCGATAACCATGCCAAGTGCTCTATTGGATTGATGCCATTGAGGAAATGAACCAGGGAGGGATCACCAACGAGCATAATAGTAAAATTCATGAAGTAGAGCAAGAACACTTAAATCTCTTCAGTAAGGATAATTCCAGTGAAGAAGAAGACATGCCACAATGGTTTGTGGAGTACAGTATCAACGAAGTCCTAGAGCTAAAGTGTTTATTGGAAGACACAAAGTTGAGGTGCCTACTGAAAAATACCGAAATGAGACACATTTCAGAAGACATCGAAATGAGATACTTGTTAGAAGATACAAAGATAGAGTGTTTATTAGAAAATACAAAGATGATTTGTCTAGTAGAGGATATTGAGATCTGGGAATGAAGGTGGATCTACCAGACGTTGAGGGGAGAATGGATACAGATGATTTTCTAAAGTAGATGCAGACTGTTAAGCGAATCATTGAATACAAGGTGTCCAATTATAGGAGAGTGAAACTTGCTTCCATTAAGCTGAAGAAGAAACCTTCTTTGTGGTGGGAGAACATGAAGAGGGAGATATAAACAAAAGGACGGGACATAACACTTTTTGGGAGAAGATGAACTTGGAGATTCAACGACAATACTTACCCCCGCACTACCACTAAGATTTTTTCATGAAGTTTCACTACATGTAGTAGGGGCTATCGACGGAGTAGTAGATTACAATATGTTTGCAGCTGTGAGTGGAAGGAGCGGAAGGAACACACCATAGCTAAATACCCTGGAGGCCTGAATTCTTCCATCAGTAATGTGGCCCAATTGCTACCCTATTGGACACTGATGGGAGTGTAAACTTTAGCATTGAAAGTAGAGAAATAACCAAAATTGAGCAGACAACCATCGTAGTTAGACAAACACACATAGTTGGAAATCTCAGGATGACCAAGCTCAGGGAGTGGAGTCGATTAGTCATGAGCAGGAAATAGACACTTCGAGTGAGAAGAAGTTTGAAAATAATAACAGAACCAATACAATCCCAACCAGGAAATGCTTTAGGTGTCATGGTTTTGGACACATTGCTTCTGATTGCCCGGTGAGCCAAAAGAGGTTGCTGATGAATTGGGTGAGGAGTATTGTTTTCCACCGAATGAGGGTGAGATGCTCATGGTTCTGCATGCCCTCTAGATTGAGGATATGAGGGAGCGGCACTCGCTTTGCCACAATATATTCTACACTCGTTGCACCGTGAAAGGAAGAGTATACACTCTCATCATTGATGGAGGGATCAGTAAGAACATACACACAAATGGTGGATGAATTTAGCTTCATGAATTAAAGACATGCACAACCATATTCACAGATGTGGTTGAAGAATGATAATAGGGTGACATGAATTGTCTCATAAAGTTTTCAATTAGGAGCCACTTGCAGGATCAAGTTTGGTGTGATGTGGCACCATGGATGCCTGCTTCCTTCTGTTGAGAAGACCATAACAACATGATCGTAGGACTCTACATGATGGGTATAAGAGCACCTACTGCTTCACGAAGGGTGGAATGCACTTCGTCCTCTTAACTTACGTGGATTCCGAGGTTACATGTGCTTTTTCCAGTAGAGAAATGTAGAAAGTATCCATTTTGGTGATGACAGATGATAGCTAGACAAAAGAGTCAACTTCAAATACATGTCAGTTAGAACATAAAGATTTTTAGGTCATCCTATTTGATAGCTTATTGCCATGGTCGCCATTATTCGGGGAGATTCATGCTACCCTCACTTTAGTTCAGATTGAGTTAAACTTAGGTTACTTTGGGAGGATCCAATAGTATATATGTGACATGCAGTCCTAGTTCAGTTTAGTAGTGAGATCTCAAAAGACTGGACCAACATGGATCACTACTCGCAAATGGGGTTCTCAAGTGCTTTGGGGTTAATGCAAGCGACAATGGGACCTAGTTTCTCATATTGATGTAGTTGAAGACTCTTCAACCTAGAAAGATTACAACAACCCCACTCACTTCACTATGCAGATGAAAGCTTTGATGAATGTCATAGCAGCTTCTCTAACCCTAGCAGACTGAAGCTAGATCTCACGCACAAGATTACTCGTGATCGAAGTGGAAGCCAATTCACACTTGGACTGAACTGGTCCAAGTATTTTTGTGGTCGTGGGTTCAGTCGCTCTAATGGGATACTCCTAGTTATCTTATTAATTTATATTTTCTTTCCTTATATTTTAGAGTTAGTTTTTTTTTTTTGTTTTGTATCAGTACAGACACCGGTGTGTCTTCTTCTATTCAAGGGTTGTATCTTAGGGTTCCAGATGGTACATCACTCGTATTTTGGTTTCTAGTTAGTGATTATTATCCATATCCCTTCTTGCATCCCTTTCATTTCACTAGCATGCCTTTCTCCTCACTATAACCACCTGACATTAGTCCTTTTGTTTATCTTTCTGCAATTCCTCATCGTCCATCCATCCTTGTCATTGTCATAGCCCCATGACAGTCTTCCTTTGGCTGTCTCGTAGTCCAACTGCTTCCTTGTCGTTGCCATCGTCATTCCCACTCATTTTTGTTGATTGGAAACAGACATTCATGGTTATTTTTTGTTGTTCCAGCCACTCACCAGCTATTTCTCTCATTCCACTCTGTTGCACTTGTCGCAACTCCTCCCTTCACTTCAATATCCTCCTCCCTTGCTTGTAGAACCCGAGATCATTCTTTCTATCTACTTCTTTAATGACTGACCCCCTTCTCTTTGTTGTTGCCGCCATTCTAGCTCCTTTTTTGTCCTAACTACCCACAGCTCAGTTCAACTAATTACCTCCACTCCCCAGCAAGCTAGCCGACCTTTAACACCCATGGATCGAACCCCCATGTGAGTTTGTGTCATGCTTGTTGTAATTTCCCCTTTCAAGTGTGTTTGATTACAACAACTTGATGGGGTTTTTATTTTTTAGCCACAATATATCTCAAAAAGATTTCTATTAAAATAATCAGACACGACATTTGAAGAATAATATACTAATCGAAAAGACAAAAGTACTATCTTAGAATGGATCTAATAACTCAGATGATGAAAATTTGTATGATTTATAGATCTACGAAACCAGATTTTTCCCTTACCTTACGGGTGTACGATAAGGTTTATTTTATTCTGGGGTTTGACATTC